GGGGGGGGGGGGGGGGGGGGGGGGAGACTGGCTTTCCTGCCGCTTCCCAGTCGTAATCCAGTCTGCTTGCCATTGGACTCCAGTGCGTTCTTAGGGCGTTCGTCTGCTCTCCACGTTATTCCAGCTAACGTCTGTGCACTGTTCACCGTGCCCTCCACCTATCAGCTCCCCTGACCCGCACATCCCCCGCGGATAAGGGTTACTGTTGCGTTACCCCCATTTCACAGCGGTGGTAACGAGGCTACACGGCTCTGAGGCTTGTATTCGTCAGTGTTGGCCACGTTGTGTTGTGGTAACAAATAACCCGAAAACCTCGGGGCTTTCTATGACGAGCTGTTACTTGTTCGTGTTTTTTGGTCACGTGACCTCCTCGTTCCAACCGTGTCTTCGACGGGAGGGTGGCCGTCTGTCCTGGTTCACCCCGGGGGGTTCCCACCGGTCTCTGTTGTACGGACATAACTGTTACTAGAGCCCCCTCTTAGCAGCATGCCAGTTGAGACCATCCATATGTGGTCATCCTGTTCACAAATAGCGCATAAGGGGCCCCTGGTGGCTCCGTCCGTTAAGCATCTGACTCTTGATCCCGGCTCAGGTCACGGTCTCACGGTTCGCGAGACCGAGCCCCGCCCCGCCAGTGCCGAGCCTGCTTGGGATTCTCTCTCTCCCTGTCTCTCTGCTCCTCACCTGCTCTCACACGTGCGTGCTCTCGCTCTCTCTCAAAATAAACCTAAAAACAATAGCACATAAAAATGATGGTGAGGAATCCTTCCTGCTGGAAGGTTTTGGGAACGATAACCACCGAGGCATGATAAACGGCCGGGGCAACACCCGAGTGGGGAACGGATGTGGCGCTCGCTTTGCGGTGCGTGTGAGAATCACCACCCGGAGAGGAGTACGAGCCTCGTGCCCGTGGGCCAGGGCGGGGCCGCGTGAGGGAGGAGGGGCGGTGGCCCTGAGAGCGGCAACCCCCAGGCTGCCCGCGACGGCGACACGCTGTGGCTGCGCCGCGGGGTGGCAGGGGCGTGAAATGCCCTGTAAGGAGGAAGCGCACCCAGGGTCACATCATTCGGCGGCAGCGGCCCGCGCCAGCGTGTCGCGTTCAAGCGTGTCCTGGTGCCCAGCGCGGGGGCCCAGGCAGGGACTTGTCCGGAGGGCGCAGGCAGCTCAGCCTTCTCTTCCAGGAGCCTGTGGCCCTGGGCGACCCCGGTGCCACAGAAGCACAGTTTGGTGAGTTCGCCCCGATGCTGTTCATGAGCAGACGGTGCCACGTTGTCCTCCTGGGGAGGCGCGCTCCCTCCCGGAAGCTCCCTCGGGGCCGGGGACCCCCTTCTGGAATTCCTTCGGAAGTTCTGACCGGTGGCCACCTTCCCACCCCGTCTCGAGGAGATTCGGTCCCGTCGGTAGTCACAAGAGTTGGCCCTGGGGAATGCGGTCCATTTATCTTTAGTACAGACGTTGTTTTTCGGAGGCCCCCGTAGAGCGCAACCCAGAAACCCGGTTTTGTCTTCTAGTTGGCATCAGTGTGGCCTGTTTACAAAGGGGAGGGTTGTCTTCGTCCGCAGGCACCTCTCTCACCCCCGTGGCCCTCGGCCTCCGGTGTGAACCACAAAGAAAGAGCCTGATTCTGCTTCCCCTGGCTTCCCAGGCGTCCAAGTGCCTGGAGGATTCTTTTCCGTGGGGGGGGGGGGGGG